TATGGATGAGTCTGGAATGCATTATTCTGAGTGAAATTAGTCACAAAAGGAGAAATATTGTATGCGGCCAATATTATAAGAGCTCATAAAAAGGTTTAAACACAGAAGGAACATTCTTTGATGTTTAAGAGGGTAGAGAGGGAGGAAGAGGTGTATTCACTAACTAGATAGTAGATAAGAATTATCTTAGGTGACGGGAAGGACAACATAATAGAGGGGAAGTCAGCAAAACTGGACTAACATAGTTGGCTAGTGCTGCTATAACAGAAATACCACAAGTGGATGGCTTTTAACAAAGAGAAATTTATTCTCTCATAGTCTAGTAGGCTACGAGTCCAAACTCAAAGCATCAGCTCCAGAGAAAGGCTGTCTGTTTCTGTCGGCTCTGGAGGAAGGTCCTTGTGATGCCTTGGTCTTCCCTTGGTCTGGTAGCATCTCAGCACAGGAAACTCAGTTTCCAAGGATGTGCTCTGCTCCTGGCACTGATTTCTTGGTGGTATGAGGTCCCCATGTCCTCTGCTCGCTTCTCTCTTTTATATCTCAAAACAGATTGGCTTAAGATGCTGTGTAATCTTGTAGACTTCATCAGTATAACCACCACTAATCAGTCTTATTACATCATAGTGATAGAACATACAACACATAGGGAAATCACATCAAATTACAAAATGTTAGACAATCATATAAAACTGGGAATCATGATCTAGCCTAGTTGACAAACATTTTGGGGGGACACAAATCAATCCATTACATTCTACCCTCAAGCCCCCAAAATTCATGTCCTTACCACATGTAAAACACATTCACCTCATCATATCATAGCAAAAGTCTTAAATCAACTCCAAATCCAAAATCCAAAAATTTGTCCTGTCTGTGAAATCTAAAGTACAAGTTAGCAGCTTCCAAAGGCACAATGGCAGAACAGGCATAAGCTAGACATATTCCATAACAAATGGGAGAAATTGCAGGGAAAGAAGGCATAACAGGCACCAAGCTAGTTAGCAGAACATTTTACATTAGCCCTCAAGGCATCAAAATAATCCTCTGTTCTCTGAGACAATTTACACAATGGCCCTGGCCCTCCAGGTTCTAGGTATTGGCCACAGTCTCCTTCCAGGCCCACCTGGACGGTAACTGTGCTCCCTCGGCTTTAGGCGCACCATTCTCCTAGTCCATCTGAGTGGCAAATCCACCCTTAGAAACACCAGAGGCCTTGAAACCCCAGAGGTCAAGGTCATACCTTTTAATACTGAGGCAGCTTGGCTTCCTGTGTTTCTTGTCTCTTCAGCTTCTGCTTCCTGACTTCTTGTCCTCTCAGCTCCTCGGACCTCACACCCACACCAGCCCTGCTGGGAAAAGTGTTCCAGAGCTCTGTACCTCTAGTGATAAGTGATTGGAGGCACTCCATTCTGCCTGGAAGCCTCCTGTGCATGAACACTCAGCTCTCTTACTCTGTGGGTCTGCAAGCTTAACTCCGCCGCTAAGTGCCTGGAAGCACTCCACTCTACCAGGAGGCCTCGTGCACACAGGTTCTCAGCTGTTTTGCTCCATGCATTGGCTCCAGTGTTATCTGGCGCTGGCCTCCTTGTTCTGCTTCTGCAAGTTCTCTGCCACTGCCATTTTTCTGCTGCTGCTGGTTCTCTACTGCTGGTGGTCCTCTGATACTGGTGCTATTCTGCTTTTGCTGCTTCATTGCTGCTGCTTGTCCTCTGCTGCTGCTTCATGTCTGTTTTTGCTGCTTCTCTGCTGCTGCTGATCTTCTATCCATTCACAGTTTCAAAACCACTTTTACATTTTACGTATCTAATAGAGCAGCACCCCACTCCCAGTACCAAATTCTCTCTTGGTCATAGAGTGCTGCTAGAACAGAAACACCACAAGTGGATGGCTTTAACAAAGAGAAGTTTATTCTCTCAGTCCAGCAGGCTACAAATCCAATTTCACAGTGTTGGCTCCAAGGGAACCGTTCCTCTGTTGGCTCTGCAGGAAGGTCCATGTCATCAATCTTCTCTTGGTCTGGGAGCTTCTCTGTGCAGGAACCTCAGGTCCAAAGGACATGCTCTGCTCCCAGCACTGCTCTCTTGGTGGTATGAGGTTCCCAAATTGCTCTGCTTATTTCTACCTTTTATATCTCAAAAGAGATTGGCTTAAGACACTATCTAATCTTGTAAACATCACCAATATAACTGCCACTAATCTATCCTATTATGTCATAGTGATAGCATTTACATCACATAGGGAAATCACATCAGATGATAAAATGGTAGACAATCACACAATACTGGGAATCATGACTAGCCAAGTTGACGGATATTTTTGGGTGACACAATTCAGTCCATGACATGGAGTGAGCCAAAAGCTAAGATTTCCTGAACACAAGCAAACATTTCAAGGGACAGTGTAACAGTGTCAGGGGTCTGGGGACCATGGTTTCAGGGGATATCTAGGTCAATTGGCATAACAAAGTTTATCAAGAAAATGTTCTGCATCTCACTTTGGTGAGCGGCATCTGGGGTCTTAAAAGCTAGCAAGCAGCTATCTAAGATGCAACAATTGGCCCCAACCACCTGGAGCAAAGAAGAATGAAGAACACCAAAGACACAAGGGAAATATTAACCCAAGAGAAAGAAAAGGCCACATAAACCAGAGACTGCATCAGCCCAAGACCAGAAGATCTAGATGGTGCCCAGCTACCACCAATGACTGCCCTGACACGGAACACAACAGAGAGTCCCTGATGGTGCAGGGAAAAAGTGCGATGCAGAACTCAAATTCACATAAAACAACCAGACTTAATGGTCTGACTGAGACTGGAGGAACCCCAGAAGACAAGGCCTCTGGACTCTGTTAATGCAGGACTATAAACATTCCAGAAGCCAACTCTTAAGACAAAGATTAGACTGGAGTATAGGACATAAAATGATACTCATGAAGAGTGTGCTTCTTAGTTCAAGTAGATACACAAGACAAAATTGGAAGCTCCTGTCTGGAGGTGAGATGAGAAGGCACAAAGAGATAGGAGCTGCTTGAATGGACACAGGAAAACTGGGGTGAAAAGGAGGAGTGTGTTGTCACATTATAGGGATAGCAACTAGGGTCACATAACAATGTGTGTATAAATGTTTGTATGAGAAACTAACCTAAGCTGTAAACTTGCACCTATGATGCAATAAAAAATAAAGAAAAAGAATGAAAAGTACTGTAGACTTATGAAACAGGCAAATATATCAGTAAGGCTACGAAAGGATATAAACTAGACAATTAAGCAGCACACACACACACACACACATTATATACATGTAAAGAATATAAATATTTTTGAAATTCATGTATAATATTTCCCAAAAGTCATATGCTTATATTTCCAAGAATATAAATATAAAACATATAAAACCGTGCTGTAGCCACTAGCTAAGTTAACAGATGGGTTCTAGAAATGTGGCTATGTGGATTTAAAGTTAAATTAATTAAGAGTAATTAAAATGTAAAAAAAAAAGTTCATTTTTCACACTAGCTACATTTCATATTAAGATGCAGAACATTTCCATGATTATAAATTCTCTAACAATAGTGTAACTTAAATATACTCTCAAATAAAAACAAAAAACACCAAACCCATTGCTACCAAGTTGATTCCAACTCGTATTAGCCCTATAGGACAGGGTAGAACTGCCCCATAAAGTTTCCAAGGAGAACCTGGTGGATTCACACTGCCAACCTTTTGGTTAGCAGATGTAGCTCTTAAGCACTACACCATCACAATTTCCATCTGAAAGGAGGCTGCCAAGAGTAGGTGTTCTTAAGTGTCTCAGGCAGATAAATGTCTGAATCAATGAAATCCTTGTATGATTTTCAGTTTTTAATGTTGTTAAATAATGTATGGTCAAAAGAATGATCACACAAGTGCTCATAGTTTTGAGAGAAACTAAACTAAAATTATAATATAAATAGAATGTTTTGTGAAAAATTGATCACCTTAAATGCCTATATAAGAACAAGGAAATCTGAAAATCAACAGTTTGAGCTTTCCTTACAAGAAGAGATTGAGGCATTTTTAGATCTTTCCTCGGCATACACACAACCCTGTACAATGGTACAGCCGTCTGGATACCCAGGTACATTTATGAGCTTTTCAAAGCTCTCTCAGAACATCTCCTTCCCTACATCTTCCCTTGAATCTTTGATCAGGCTCTTTTGGCCTCAACTGTTATTGCAGCCGCAGGTAGCTGTAATGTTGAACAATTGCTGTTGATTATTTTCAGCAAATAATTTTCCCACAGAGCTAGCTCCAACCATGTGCTGTAAATGGGGTTTTCCAGGGAGCTGTGAGAAAGGTCAAATAAAAATAATTTCGTGGTTACGGGACTCTTAAGAGCTCCAAACTTGGTTTTCCTCTTCAGTAGTGGCATAGCTGCTAGTTTTCATGGCTACCATGGAGCTGGGGAGAGGACATTAGGTGGCCAAGTTAAAATGCCACAGACACTACCTTTCTTACTGGGGTTCAGCATTTCTTATTGAATAAATACTCCCTGTATTATCTCAAACCTTTGTTTAATTCACAGTCTTGAAAACGTTGATCTGAAAATTTCTTGCCAATGTTTTCTTTCCTTTATAAAGGATATTTACAAAAGTCTTCACTCCATAATTCAAGAAGTCTCAATCCCCAGCAGAGTTTTCACTGTGGAAATTGTTAAGCTTGTATGAAAAATTGTATTGAAATGTAAATGGCCAACCATACACAAAAGAATAAAAATTTGAGCAATGAACCAGATATTCAGATTTCTTATAAAATTACAGTAATTTAGATATTTTTATTTTGTTAAAAAGTTATACAGATAAGTAAACATATTTAACAATATAAAGACTCATGGAACACAAGAAAGTTGTTATACTCAGGGTTATATTTTATTACGGAAAATGGTACTCATGAAAATCAGCCCAGGGAAGAAGTACATAGGGGAAACTCCAGGAGGGTTCCAAATGTGGAGCTTCCAGACGAACAAATAATGTAATTCATCATAAGACTTTTACAGTCATGATATTATTTCCATTGCATGAAATATAAAGATACCTGAAGGACTCCAAGCTCAGATGTTTTTAACTCAAAATCTCATGCTTACAAATGTGTATTTTTTCATCTCCACAACTGGCTGATTGAAGGCTAGATCTGAATAGCATTACACAGTTGTATGTAGGATTTGATGGTGCTCTTATCCTATAATGCATAAAAATGCATAAACCCATTATATTTTTGTGTGGTAATCCATAAAGAAATGGCATTTTCTATGCAAAAATAATAGAAAAATGATATAATAATGAGTAATGACATTTCTTACAAAAATATTAGTAATAATTTTTATAAACACTGAGTACTTCATTCTTAACTAATATTTATATCAATATTTCATGTCATTAATTTTCAATTTCTTTTTACATGTCTATAATTCAATTTAGTCCTATTTATTAATATTACTTATCTGAATTTTTCTTTTGTATTTTTTCTTCTATATGATGTCATTCAGAAAAACTTACGTTTGGTTGGAAGGTGAGCCATTTATCCAGAACCAGGAATAATTATTGCTTTCACGAGACAGTCCAATCCATGAAGAAGATGACAGAATCTTCATAAACATCTATCATAAAACAAAAAAATTCTGTCTTAATAACCATTATAAAGCCTTTTATTACTTAAAAGCATGCTGGTAGTGTTTTCTTTTACTTCATCTTTAATTTTCAAAGCAAGATAAGCGTGCTAGATTCTAACACTGAAAATATATTAAAGTTGAAAATCACATTTCATATTGTCAAAAACTTTCACAAATGTGTTTGCTTTTCATCAAAAATAACCATTTAAATATTAACACTTAATAGTCTTATTCTCCCAGTTTTACGAAAAAGAAGTTTAAATTCATATAACTTAATAGCTACCAGAGTTCACTAAACTAGCATAACAAAAACAAAACAAACCCACTGCCATTGGTTCCATTCTGAAACATTGCGACCCTATAGGAGAGAGTAGATCTGCCCCAGAGGGTTTCCAAGGCTGTAATCTTTACAGAAGCAGACTGCCGCTTCCTTCTCCCATGAAAAACCAGCATAGTGAGTTCCAGCAAAATGGCGCTGTAGGCAGAAGCACCACGCCGTCCCTCCACAGCAAAGATCTGAAAAACTAAGCCGAACAGAGAATACAACACTCCTGAAACACTAAAACATCAAATGAAGAGATAAATAACTCAGCCAAGCACCAAATGGAGTGAGAAAACTGGCAGAGAATGGAAAGCGAGGAGAGATTCATGCACAGGTCCCCTACCAGCTGACACAGCGTGGATCCGCCATCTTGGACTCCTATCAGAGACCAGCAAACAGGAGGTACGAGAAAGCAGCCTCACGGAGCTTCCAGCGGGAGACAAAACAACTGGTAATT